CACAGACACACACACAGACACACACACAGACCACACACACAGACACACACACAGACACAGACACAGACACAGACACAGACACAGACACAGACACAGACACAGACACAGACACAGACACAGACACAGACACCGACACAGACACAGACACCGACACAGACACAGACACAGACACAGACACAGACACAGACACAGACACAGACACAGACACAGACACAGACACAGACACAGACACAGACACAGACACAGACACAGACACAGACACAGACACAGACACAGACACAGTCACAGACACAGACACAGACACAGACACAGACACAGACACAGACACAGACACAGACACAGACACAGACACACAGACACACAGACACACAGACACACAGACACACAGACACACAGACACACAGACACACAGACACACAGACACACAGACACACAGACACACAGACACACAGACACACAGACACACAGACACACAGACACACAGACACACAGACACACAGACACACAGACACACAGACACACAGACACACAGACACACAGACACACAGACACACACACACACACACACACACACACACACACACACACACACACACACACACACACATACACACATATTTTTATTTTGCTCCCGTATCATTCTACAGGTTCCCGTGGCTCGCGAAAACAACATGTGCGTGTATGATCCTTTCCAGGGCTTTCCTACGGAATGTGTCAGGACCATTCCAGTTCTTGTATCAGAGTCTGCATTCATGCGTAAAGCTGGACACAAGCAAAGCCGCCAGTGCAAGCCACAGCCTTGTAAAATACGTCAACATGTGCACCTCAACCTTCCCCGACCCCCCAACAGAACAGGGGACTCTGGCAGTGCATTTTTCTCGTTTCTTTTGAACCTGTGCAAATTATGCGGAAGGATGTGTGTCGATCGCTGTCTTTTCTGCTGCTTCAAGGCATTCCCGTGTTTCTAAAATGGTCTCCTGCCCTCAAAAAAGTGCCTTGCTTCTATTCGCTACTAGCGCCCCTTCGGCACATCTGCTCCTGTCAAATCGAACATCTGCCATTCTGTGGGGGAGCCTCCCAATAGCTCCCAGCTTTTGCCAGGATGCCGCGGCAATGCCCTCCTGGGGAAGGGGAAGGCATGGGACCCTCTGCGAAAGCATGGTCCTGTTTAAATCTGATCCCTTAGTTTGCTTCTTTCTTAGTGGTTCTCATTTGACGATCACCGCCAGAAAAAGCCGCAAACTCCGGAATGACCACCCCGCGATTTCCCCCTGACGGAGCTTATCATGCGACGGCAAAAATCGAACGAGACGTTGGGTGAGCACAAGCGAAAACGCATCCTTCTTCAGCTTCTCCAGAATCTTGGGAATGGACTCCCAATCAACGCCGTCTCCCTGGCATGGGTCCGGCAATGTCTCAGACGTGACACTGTTCACCGCTCGAGACAGAAGCAAGGTACGCAGCAAACCCGCTGCTTGGCGCTTCGAAAAGAATCAAGATAGGCAAACAAGCTCCGGTTTGCACCACTCCACCCGCAATCGTGTCACCGCCAAGATCACAGTCATATAAGTCATCACTTCAGGGTCCCACAGTTACTTCGAAAGGGGTCAAAGGGGCCTGGCAAAGACGCGATGACCCGCCCCTGTCCACACATCGAATCTCCAGACTTTGGATGCGCAGCATTTACGAGAGCAGCAAGCTCTATGAACTGTCCGGGCCAGCAGGTCCTCAGTACCTCATTCAATTCCACTCTTTGGGGGTTGGCATTGACAACCAACGTGAAGCTGCAGCATGTTAGAGTCCTTCATCATTCAGCGTTGCTTGAATAGTGAGTCCATTCCAGGCTGGCTGGCAGCGGAGCTGAATTGAGCATAACCAAGGCGCACAAGAGAGGTTCAAATGCACCGCTGTGCTGAACCATTGGGTCTGACAACTGAGACAAGTGCATGCCTAACTATGTGGATGCCATCATAAGCCAATATGGAAGCACATGAACAATTCACATTAAAGGATCCTTCAAAGGACAAAACAGACATCGCCTGTGCTTCTCACATCTGATGTGTCATTTGGCACTGCTCCTGCCTGGATCACGCGGATGTAAGGCGGGAGCAGCTTGTGCCCTGTCTTGGTCGTGGTCACGTCTTCCTGCACTTAGTCATCATCAGGTCATTGCAGGAACCCTTCAATTCAGGATCATCAAACATGCCTCAGCTCCGACGCTTCAACCAAAGCGGGTGAAATTACATCACAGGGAGAAACTGAGCAAAGAACCAGTTTCTCTCCCTCCCTGGCCCGGGAAAAGCTGCCCAAACGCTGAGATATCTTCCCAAACAACCATCACAATTCCCTGCACGAGAAGTGGGCGAAACTGACCTGAAAGGCATCCTGACAGTCACTCAATGATATGATGATATAATGAATGCAGGCAACTGTCTACTCAAGCACTTGTGTTCCGAGAGCAAATGGCGTCCTCTTCCGAGCCCCCTTTTCCCACAGCTTATAACGCCCAAGGGCAAGAGAGCCGGTGGGCCGGCCAGCAAATGTGGCATTCCGAACGCCGACTGAGACGCGACATGCGCGCCAAGGGCCCTTTAAACACACTGAGCCAGGCCAAACTTAGGTGATCTGCGTGATTAGACTGCTGACCCCATTGGCATTCAGCGGGCCGGGTGCCCATCAAATGAATCAAATGCTCGTCGACCCTCGACCCTCGATCCAGGACTGCCGAGACTGCAAGATGTCCTTGAACTGCTCAAGCAGGATCCTAGAGGCACGGTGTCCGGTAAACATGCACGTGTGCCCTGATGTTTATTTCTGTGTGTCCTTGATGGTCGTGTCTGGATTCGCAACAGCCGCAAACCGTGTTGGCATGACAAAAATTGCCGTAAGGGCCCGCCTCTGATGAGAAGCCGTTGCGGACAAGATGTGGCCCACAGGCAATTTGGTGATGGCAGAGCCAAGGGCTTACACAGCCTCTGTACTCAAATCCTCCGAAGAAATGGGTGTCGTGTTTTGGAGGGAACCCCTTTCTGTGATCTTGAAGGGACGTGGTGCGTGTATATTTGCAAATATTTGCAACACGCACACACACCTCCAAGTTGCCAAGAAGCCGTCACACACACACACACACCATAGAACAGTTGGAAATACAAGTCTTCACAGTTGCTATCGCGGGTTCTTGATGCAACAAACCAACCGTTCAAATCACTCCTATGGCCCAAATACATATCCGGTATGCTCGGGAAGTGCGACAAAGGCGCTTTAAAATGGAGCAGCAGGTCTCCGCGGGATCGCCGCTGTCCGGTCGCACCACAAGGCGGCCGAACTTGGTGTCCGTGATGCCTAGGCCGGCGCTTCAGTTGGAAGTCTGTGAAGTTTGACGCTTGCCCTAAGAGCTCAGCATAGCTCAGGCCTGCCTAGCTCAGTGTACTGAATCTCAGCGGCACAGCCGCACGAACCCATACCCAGCCGAGCTGCGGCCCTTGATCAGGTCCTTGAGCTTGTCTCCCCAGTAGTCCTTGCAGGCCCGCCAAATGTCGAAGGAGTCCGACACCTCGGGTTGAAGGGCCCAACGTGAGGCTCCCTAAAGCAAAGGAATCCGAGGACTTCTTGTGAGGAAAGTTCTGTATGCGTCTGTGTGTGTGTGGATTTGTGCAGATTGCAAACCGGCCATCAAGTACAAGTAGAGCAAAACACCGCACAAAAATCGTGGCCCAAACAACTCATGTAAAGCGGTGGGCATATTGCTTATTGCATTACTCAATGCTTTGCGCACCAGCTTGCTGCAACAAACAAAACTGCCCATTCCACAAAGGTTCCCCTAACAAGAAAGACTCCTCTACAAATCAGTGTGGTTAAGCACAAGCAACGATTGTATGCTACACGATAAGAGGCTCAGCATTCCTCAACGTCCGGTCGCCCTCGTCGCCGATTCCACTGATCGTGTAGGAAAAATGTCTTGAGCCAACGAAGCAAGCCACACCGCTTAGGTTGCTGATATCCTCGAGGCTACATTTGTTTGTGTCACAGCTTTTTTACTTGATGGCAATCCCTACAAGTGAGGTGTGTAGACCAAGGCAAAATGCACAACCAAGAATGGCCTAACAGGAAGCCCTTGCTAGGCCAAAGACCTGACCAAGCTTGGCCCTTGCTGTGCGGACAAGCAGGCAAAGCGACATAGCTTGCCTTTTCCAGCTCATATTCGGACGAGTGGTGCCATCACCGAGAGGCAAAGCTGTCGATCCGAGGCGCGCAAGCCACCAGGCCCTCGGGATAGGACTCCAGCATGTTCCTGCCAAGGCTGGAGGCTGCCAAGGTCTCTCGCCCCAAAAAACTGCTTCAGAAGTTGGCATCTTGGCACAGCTTGGTGTAAGCAAAAAACGAAGGTTCCTGGAAGGGCTGGCACAATTGGCATCGGCCTAGTCCTTCGTAACTTGGCAGGCTTACCTGACAAGGGGTCTGGTGCTACCTTGATTAGTTGAGCTCTCAAACTCCTCAAGGGGGAAGTACAGGTCAAACTGCAGTTTTGGATATGGTTCAACACTCTCTACAAGCTGCTTGCTGGGCAGGCAATGCTTTGTTGCTCACTTGAACTTGTTAACTTGCTGGACCTTTTCCGAAATGAAGACGTCTACCAGTACCACTGGAAAGTTCAAAGTGACAAGCTCTGCCAACACAAGCTGCTCCCCTCCCTCCCCGCATGAATCCCTCATATCGATCCTCATGGCGTCGCACTCCCCCTCCACGCCCCAGGAGGTGATGGTGGAATGCTCCGAGGCAGGGATAGAGCCACCCGCCGCCTGGCGCCGACACAGACGAAACAGATGATATAAACCGCAACCTGTGCCCCAGACCCTTCCGTTGCCAAAGAAAACGTGATATGTTAAGCCATTCCAACAAGTAGCACATCGTTTTAAACAAGCCCTGAGCTGTTGCATGAAAGCGTTGTCAGCATGAGATAAACATATGCTGCATGCTCAGCACAGCCATACACACATAAGTGGAACAGCCTCAAATGAGCATTCTTGTGCCCAATGCTACTCAATGTATGCACTGATTGGGGTTGAACAACATTTTTGTATGCGTGCTTGTATTGCAGGAGCATCTTCTACACTAAGCTATTTGACATCTTTCTCACCGCATAAAATTGAGGAAGCAGTACCTGAATGGTTGCATATCATTAGGCAATACGTGGCTGCAACTTGAGCTTCTCGAGAACTGCAATGTCAAAAAAGTTTGATTTGCTGGAATCATGCCACGCACCTGTCAGAAAATGTTGTTTGTTTTTGCACAAAACAGCTAAAAACACTGTAAAACCAGGGTTGTCTGGACATCCTGCTCTCAAAAAACACCTTCCCTGAGCTTCCCAAAGTCTCAGGGCATCTTCGTCCGGGTTCCCCTTTTCCCCAATAGCCCACGGACCCATGCACTGAACCTCGCCCGTGCCCGATCTCGAGATCGAGGCCTTCTTGGAGCCGTAGTAGTCGCGGGCGCAGATCATGGCGGCCACGGTGTCCGTGCCGAGGAAGTTAATCAAGTGCCTCGTTCCCAGCTTGTGCCGGCACTTTGGGGGCTTCCGGCAAAAGCGCTTCAAACCCATGACCCAAGCAGGTGTCCTTTCAAATGCTTGGTTGGTTGGAAGGTAAGAACGAGGACATGACCAATTTGGCCTTTTGAATCAACGGTCTGCAAAAAGGCCGCCGACACAACCAATTAAGCGTTTGCGACTTTGCATTCCAACTCTCCAACCAATCCGGCCAGATTTGAAGGGTCATTGAAGAAGTGCCAGTCACAAGCCAAGTGTTCTTATGTTACAGTACAACGCAGGGTAAGCATGACAACAAACGCAAGCTGAAAACGATACCGGTGAGCAACTCATATTTCAGATAGGAGTTGCTTTGCAAATTGGATTTTAATAAACTCTCATTGAGATGTAAATGGAACTATGTGAAAACACGTAGAATGCAAATGCAAATGCACAAGGACATGAAGCACGATATAATTGATTCGGATTTCAATTGCAATTAGCTTTTTAGATAAGAATGAGTTCCTTTCCCACAAGTTGATGATTGTACTGATTTCCCCTGCCAAACGAAGAAGAACAAAAACAAAACAAATAACAGAGCAGTTACAGGCACGTTGAAGCTGCCAAAATGTACTTCGCGCACTACTCTTGTGCTGAACAGTTGCGCTTTCTTTTTGAGCTGGAGCCGAAGTGCACTTCGCGTACTGCATGTTTAGCGAACAATATGACGTTCGAGATGTCTAAATAGGAACTCCTTCTCAACATTGAGCTTGATCTGTGTTTGATTATAGGTTGCATGAAGTTAAATATAGTGTTTCTCCAGATGTCAGTCTAAAGAGATCTTAAAGGTCTGGAGTGTCTGCAGCGAAACTGCCCCAAACGCAGGCCCATCGGCGGGGGAGGAGCATGTATATAAACATGTATACATTGTGCCACTTTGGGCAGTGCTCGTGTCTTGTCAACACACGACCGACCATCTGGCAGCATGACGCTACATGTTGGCGAAGATATTTCAACGACTCTCCGTATGTCCACATTTGTCACTTGTCTGGCGAACCCCAATGCAGCGTCAAAACATAGCCGTCATCATCCACACGATAAATTTGCAAACGGTGACTAGAAGGACTATAGTTCAACATATAGTATATGTAAGCTAACCAAACGGCACCACACAAGCAAGCGATAACTCTTTTATCCAAGCAATGTGTTGGTGCCAGGGACTCATCTTCCCCTGTCAGATGTCTACGGCTGGGTGGGCCCCATGGGCCACCCACCCCAAACTCTCAAAAACTGAAGAACGGGTGTGCAGACTGATAGCGCCCGCCCCTGAGCCGGGGCCCGGGGCACCCAAGCCACAGGGGGGTCTGCCACCAGGGAAGTGAGTCACCCACCGGCTCCGGTGACGGGAGCATGGGTGGGTGCACGCTAAGATCAAATGCATCTCCATTCAGGAGACGCGGGAGAAAAACGAACTCCTCGCAGAGTTCCTGTTTAGGGACCCTGTGCAAAGGGTCGAACCCAGAGAAATCTGGGTGCGTCAGCTCATCGGCCCACTGGTTGAATTCTCGGGGCACGTGGTTGGCCGCCAGCGAGCAGCCATGGGTGTGGAGCAGGAAGACCAGCTCCATCAGGATAGCCGCGGTGTAGGGCTTCTTGGATCCAAGGTTGAGCATCGCCATGACGTTGCCCTGATTGTCACTGCCCACCGGGAGTCGGACCCGGGAGGACAGAGGGCCTTGGTGCGTGAGGATCATGTTACAGAGGAAGAGCGTGCCCAGCATTTCCAGAGCCGCAATCCTCCGCTTGGGATCCCCATTCTTGAATGCCCACGGGTACTCCTCCACGTGGATCTGCTCGTGGAACCAGTACACCTCCTTCTTTTCCGGCTCCATTTTGTTGGCGCACCAGCCTCCCACAAATGCCAGTCCTTCGTCCGAGGCGCTAGCATCGCTGCAGCCCCACCAAGAGGACTTCGGCAAGTAAGGGGAGTACTGGACGAAGGGCGTGTTGAAGAGGAACCGCTTCTTTTCTTAGCTTCGAAGAGCTCCGCTTGAGCCAAACCAAATAACTTAACCTCATACAACAACCATATATAAACATTCACATATATACATATATATGGTCATTGTTGACATTCCCTTATAGATGACACACTCGCACTGTTTTTACGGCTAGGCTCGGGGGAAGTCATCTTAGTCCACATGGACGTATCCGTATCTCACATGAGATCTCAATACATCTTCAACGCACAATTAGTCCACATGGACGTATCCGTATCTCACATGAGATCTCAATACATCTTCAACGCACAATCCCCTGTCCACCTGGACAGGTTACTGTCTCACATGAGACTGTGATACATCGTGAATGCACAACGTTCGTCCACATGGACGCGTGCTCTTTCAACAAGAGGGTTGAAACATCTGCAACGCAGAAAACCTCACCGGGAAGTTGAGCACGGGTGGGAGGTGGGAGCGAAAATTTCCGGTCAAAACAAAACATGGGGAAACCCTCCCGCCCACCACTGAGCCAAATTTACATTCGGTTGCATGAAATACATTGCGCACATGCACAAGCACATACATCATGCCAACCACACGTGTTGTAACAAACCGGAGCTTCATTACGCGTAAGGCAAATCGCGTAAAGACAGAGCTCAGCGGACCCCAAAACCCCCCTCAAACATAGACAGGGGGGGGTTCTACGCACGCAAAGAAGGTTTTATCTTCTACGAAGAGCGCAACCTTCTTTTCTTAGCTTCGAAGAGCTCCGCTTGAGCCAAACCAAATAACTTAACCTCATACAACAACCATATATAAACATTCACATATATACATATATATGGTCATTGTTGACATTCCCTTATAGATGACACACTCGCACTGTTTTTACGGCTAGGCTCGGGGGAAGTCATCTTAGTCCACATGGACGTATCCGTATCTCACATGAGATCTCAATACATCTTCAACGCACAATCCCCCGGCACTAACGGTTGAAGACACCAGCCTTGCGAGATTATCATCAAGGGTACACATGACCTGTGGGTTCCTTCCAAACCTTCAAACTGACCTCTGGAAGGTCAAGCAGAGGTATTGGTTGCACCTGCAACACGCTCACACATGTCGCCAGATCATGTCAGATCTCGGCTGTAGTGACAAAGTCAATGACTTTGTTCAAGAAGGTACTGGTTGACCGGCAGCTGATCAAAGAGGAACGCACAGCTTCATTATTACTGAAAATCAAAATATCAACATGCTGGAGAAGTTGGATGAATCACAAAGGCAGCTGTGTTGGCCAAAGGCTCGGATTCTGCATGAGCGTCTTGCGTACCGCACAGTGCACTGCATGTATTGCATCGAGTTGAGGCGGAGTCAAGAAGGGTAATTCAGCAGGCGACACGGTCGCCTGCTGCGCCGAGCAATGCACCACCAAGACCGGCCACTCGTCTAGGATCGCAACACGCGTCTGTGAACACATGCAAGGTGTCACGAGGCAGGCACTGGAGTGACCTGGGAGGGCCCTTGCAAATGCAATTCTTGAATTGTTCGAGTACCTCCATCATCCTGTGGTCTCAACAAACAGCCTGTCGGGTGTTTGAACATTAAAGTCAATACGCCAGAGAGGATTCGCGCATGCCTTCCGAAACTCGATTGTTTGCAGACCACAAACGCCCTCGCAGCAAAGATAATTTGCCACGCTGACGCTTCCCTCTCTGAAGAATGCCACTAATGAAGGCCTCCAATTTGCACTGCCTCCCAGCAGTGTTTCCTAATAAAGACAATGCCCAAATTGCAGTCGCCCAGGTCGCAAATCACGCCAAGCGACTTTGCACACGAATCACGCGGACCCCCTTGTCATCCGCGATCTCCCACCTAGCAGAGAGAAGAAAGCAGTCACACCAAGGTTGAGGTGCGCATTCACCGAGACATCACATACAAGGACAAAGTCATCAATATATATATATATATACCTTCCAGCGCAAGTACTACAGGAAAAACCCAAGCTGCCAAATAGCCCGTGAAGTGCGGCAAAAACCCCGACATCTGCAAGGGCACCAAAAGGAAGAGCAAGGCTCTGAAACATCGGATATTGAGGTTCTCGCTCACACCTCGCTCTATGGCAGCACGGATTCTGAGAGCAACACCAGACACCACAGCGTCAATACCGTGCACTTCGATAAACTCACTGCTGCTATTCGTCAAGTTGATGAGGCTTTCAGCGTAGTCGCCAGTCGGCCTGACTCCGTGGACCTGCGCCTCGTCCACAACATGGGTGCCTTGATGAACCCAAATCTACGTGTAATCCTGCAGTCATCAAAGGTCGTCCACACTCGTTGGACCGATAAGCCAACCACATCCGACCTCTGCTATGGTAACGTTGAAAACATCGCCAATGACCGTATCAACCAATTCACACCTGGCCGAGCGGATAATACCTGTTCACGTCTGGGCCGCAGTCGCGTGGGCGTGGTCCTCGTGTAGAGATGCAAACATAGCCTTTGTCTGGAATACGCAGGAGAGAGGGGCTGGACCCATGAGGCTGAACCCCCCCCCATCATGCAGTCCGCAAGAGCAGGATCGCCATAGCCAATGTGCAACAACGATTGCTTGAATAACAGGATCCATTTCGTCCCAAGGACACTGGCACTGTGCTGCGGCATGTCACGCTTCATCTAAGCTTCGTCGTCCTTGAGGTCCAAGGCTAGCAGCATCCACATGCGCATCTGCTCAGTTCTGGGCACCGCCAAGTTCTCTTACTACAAGAGACGTTGCCAACAATACACAGCTCAAGCTCCTGCCGATTCCAGACCCAGATCGCTTTGGATGGCAGGCCCCTTTGGCTTCCAGCAGGAATTCATCTGGCTTCCAGGAGGGACCCAAAGTGGCTTCCACCCAACCGGTTTTCACCGAGTTGGAGGAATAAGCATCAAAACCAGCCGCAGGCTCTGGTGGCACAAAACATGCTGCAAAACCAGTCGCAGGCTCCGGTGGCCCAAAAAAAGGGTTGAGGACAGTG